TCTCCAGCATTTATTGCTTGTAGACTTTTGGATAGCAGCCATCCTGACTGGTGTGTAATGGTACCTCATTGTGGTTTTGATTTGCATTTCTCTGATAATGAGTGATGTTGAGCATCTTTTCATGTGTTTGTTAGCCATCTGTATGTCTTCCTTGGAGAAATGTCTGTTCAGTTCTTTGGCCCATTTTTTGATTGGGTCATTTATTTTTCTGGAGTTGAGCTGGAGGAGTTGCTTGTATATTTTTGAGATTAATCCTTTGTCTGTTGCTTCATTTGCTATTATTTTCTCCCAATCTGAGGGCTGTCTTTTCACCTTGCTTATAGTTTCCTTTGTTGTGCAAAAGCTTTTAAGTTTCATTAGGTCCCATTTGTTTATTTTTGCTTTTATTTCTAAAATTCTGAGATGTGGGTCATAGAGGATCCTGCTGTGATTTATGTCAGAGAGTGTTTTGCCTATGTTCTCCTCTAGGAGTTTTATAGTTTCTGGTCTTACATTTAGATCTTTAATCCATTTTGAGTTTATTTTTGTGTATGGTGTTAGAAAGTGTTCTAGTTTCATTCTTTTACAGGTGGTTGACCAGTTTTTCCAGCACCACTTGTTAAAGAGGTTGTCTTTTTTCCATTGTATATCCTTGCCTCCTTTGTCAAAGATAAGGTGACCATAGGTTCGTGGATTTATCTCTGGGCTTTCTATTCTGTTCCATTGATCTATATTTCTGTCTTTGTGCCAGTACCATACTGTCTTGATGACTGTGGCTTTGTAGTATAGTCTGAAGTCAGGCAGATTGATTCCTCCAGTTCCATTCTTCTTTCTCAGGATTACTTTGGCTATTTGAGGTTTTTTGTATTTCCATACAAATTGTGAAATTATTCGTTCTAGTTCTGTGAAAAATACCGTTGGTAGTTTGATAGGGATTGCATTGAATCTGTAGATTGCTTTGGGTAGTATAGCCATTTTGACAATATTGATTCTTCCAATCCATGAACACGGTATATTTCTCCATCTGTTTGTGTCCTCTTTGATTTCTTTCATCAGTGTTTTATAGTTTTCTATGTATAGGTCTTTTGTTTCTTTAGGTAGATATACTCCTAAGTATTTTATTCTTTTTGTTGCAATGGTGAATGGTATTGTTTCCTTAATTTCTCTTTCTGTTTTCTCATTGTTAGTGTATAGGAATGCAAGAGATTTCTGTGTGTTAATTTTATATCCTGCAACTTTACTGTATTCGTTGATTAGCTCTAGTAATTTTCTGGTAGAGTCTTTAGGATTTTCTATGTAGAGGATCATGTCATCTGCAAACAGCGAGAGTTTCACTTCTTCTTTTCCTATCTGGATTCCTTTTATTTCTTTTTCTGCTCTGATTGCTGTGGCCAAAACTATGTTGAATAGTAGTGGTGAGAGTGGGCACCCTTGTCTTGTTCCTGATTTCAGGGGAAATGCTTTCAATTTTTCACCATTGAGGGTGATGCTTGCTGTGGGTTTGTCATATATAGCTTTTATTATGTTGAGGTATGTTCCTTCTATTCCTGCTTTCTGGAGAGTTTTAATCATAAATGGATGTTGAATTTTGTCAAAGGCTTTTTCTGCATCTATTGAGATAATCATATGGTTTTTATCTTTCAATTTGTTAATGTGGTGTATTACATTGATTGATTTGCAGATATTAAAGAATCCTTGCATTCCTGGGATAAAGCCCACTTGGTCATGATGTATGATTTTTTTAATATGTTGTTGGTATCTTCATTTTTTGAATGTTGAGTTTTAAGCCAGATTTTTCACTTTCCTCTTTCACTTTCATCAAGAGGCTCTTTAATTCCTCTTCGCTTTCTGCCAAAAGGGTGGTGTCATCTGCATATTTGAGGTTATTGGTATTTCTCCCAGTAATTCCAGCTTGTGCTTCATCCAGCCCAGCATTTCACATGATGTACTCTGCATAGAAGTTAAATAATCAGGGCGACACTACCTAGCCTTATGCACTCCTTTATCAATTTTCAACCAGTCTGCTGTCCCATGTCCAGTTCTAACTGTTGCTTCTTGGGAGGCAGGTAAGGTGCTCTGCTATTCCCATCTCTTGAAGGATTATCCACAGTTAATTGTGATCGACACAGTCCAAGGCTTTAGTATAGTCAATGAAGCAAAAGTGGATGTTTTTCTGGAATTCTCTCTGTGCGTACCAGAACCCAGGAGGAAGGAGCAGTGACCCCAGAAGACAGGGAGCCAGACTTGCCTGTGGGGCTCTCTGGCAGAGGCACGGGTCGGCAGCGGCCTGCCGCGGGGTCAGGGTCGCTGGCAGCAGTAGTCCTGGAGGAGTGGTGTGTTCACAGAAGTCCTCCTGGAGGAGGTCAGGGTCTGTGGACTCCGGGACTGGGCCGCCTTGGGCCAAATGACAGGGTGGGAGCACAGCCCCCCCTGTCAGCGGACAGCTGGGCTAAAGATTTATTGAGCGAGGGCCCACCCATCAGAGCAAGAGCCAGAATCCCCCACAGCCAGTCCCTCCCATGGGGAAGCCTGCACAAGCCTCATCCTTCTCCATCAGAGGGCAGACAACGAAAACCACAGTCACAGAAAACTAACCAAACTGATCACGTGGACCACAGCCTTGTCTAACTCAATGAAACTATGAGCCATGCCGCGTAGGGCACCCAAGACGGACGGGTCATGGTGGAGAGTTCTGACAAAACGTCCACTGGAGAAGGGAATGGAAAGCCACTTCAGCGTTCTTGCCTTGAGAAGGCCATGAACAGCATGGAAAGGCTGCTGCGGAAATCAGAGGTTTTACTGGAAACTGCACATTTGAAACCGAGTCATCCTTTGGCTGTGGCAGTTGGAGGCTCTGCCCACAGGCCTCACCTCGCAGTGATCCTGCACACGGAGCCATGGTCCCCAGCACTCCCGCCCACCACGCGGGCCGCGTGGACCAGGAGGTACCCGTCAGGAGCCCCACGCTCGTCAATCCCAGCTGGAAGGACGCGCCAAGCATGGACTTTGGAATCTGCCCCAACTGGCTTGCAACCCTGGACAGGCTATTTACCCTCCGAGCCTCAGTTTCCTCATCTGTGAAATGGGGTTCATGTCGGCCCCGCTCCTGCCAGGACTGGCTCTAATGCTGTGGTTCTCACCACACAGGTCTGCCTCTTGGAATGAACATCTTTCTTTACTGAAATATTCTCAACCCTGATGGGTCAAATGTGGCTCCAAGATGGGGGTTTGGGAGGTACTGCTTTTAAAACTAAATTCTAATTCAAACGGGGTGTGGACGACTGGGCGGACTGCCTCCCTCCTGAGTCCCACACAAGGCAGACTCAGCAACAGTGGTTCTCGAGGCCGGGGAGCTGGAGCCGTGGCCTGATCATCCCTGCCTACACGTCTGGGGTGACTCCCATCCAGCTGAGTAGCTCAGAGGGCCAGGAGGCCAAATTCCGTCATGATGCCAGACCCAAGGAAGCCGGGGCTGCCCAGCAGCCAAGGACTCCCCGGCTCAAAGTCCCGACCAAAGATGGGAAACCGAGGCAGGAGATGACCCGGCGTTACACTCCCGGTGTGCAGGGCGCCGCCTGTTCACCAGCCGTGAGCCTGCGAGGTCCTACCCCCCAGAGAGAGCTCTCAGGCAGGCGACCCCAGGCAGGCCCCAGCACCTGGGGAGCCTCTGTCTGCCCTTGCAACACAGGCTGCTGTGTGGGTAAGGACGAGCCAGCCGCCTGGCCCGGAGCACAAGGGCCCATCCTCGCAGGCTGGGGACGAGGTGCTGGCCCTTCACCGGAGGGGCGGGGGCGTGGTGCCCTGACCAGCACCGTCACGGACCACCCTGGCTTCCACAGGGACCTATGGACCTGGGTGCTGGCCTGCCCGTGGACCCGGGCTCCAGCCTGCCTGTGGACCCAGGCGCCGGCCTGGCCGGAACCCCCTGGTGCGCCCTCCAGCCTGGCCGCATACCCCCTCCCGCCCCACAGCGAGCTGTCCTCCTCCGCTCTTGGGCCACGAGCTTAGGCAGGGTGATGCCACCCCCTATCCGGGACAAATAATCAACTGTCCAGGGGTAAGAACCAGCCCCAGGACGTGGCACAACTTCTGAAAGAGCGACACAGCCCAAGGACACAACAGAAAACGATCAGAATCGAATGGAAGCAAGACGGCAGACAAGCCTCGACCTCAGTCCTCAGCCAACAAGGGAAACGACACATCCAGAGGCGCCATGACAGGTCCAGTGGTGACAGGCGAATGGGGGGGCGAAATTCCCGCCCCTTCCCAAAACAGCTGGAATAAGCCTCCCGCTCATTAGCACATGGAACGACCCAGCCTATAAATCTAACCACACCACGTTTCCAGGCCCCACTCGCCCTCTGCGAGGCCCACACTCTGTCTGTGCAGCGTGCTTCATGAGGTCCTGAAACCAGGCACCGTGGGTTTTGGCTGGGATTGAGTCCCAGCCACGTGGGTTCGAGCCCGTCTGAGGTACACGGTTTCAGGGCCACTGTTGGAGGGACGTGCTGCCTCTCCACAGGCTGCTCACGTAAAGCTGCTGGAAGCCAGCTTCGCCTCCACTCGGGGCAAGTCTGGGTGGGAATAATGCCAAACCAGGGGACACACGAGGTGGGGGCAGAGAGAGACGGTGGCGACTAAGACGCTGAGCCCCTGGATCCAGCCGTGGCTGCAGCCGTCTGTTACATTCACCAACAAAGCCCTCTGACTGCTGAAGTCATTCTGAACTGGTTGCAGTCACTCACAAGCCAATGACACCCGGCTGGCTCACACATGCAGCTCCCCCCCGTCAGGTGCTCCCACAGATAGGCACAGCTCGGAGAACCACCGCCCGCCCCTCCCACCAGACCCCGAAGCCAGACGGCGCCTCACACGCCCCCACGTCCCCGCCACCGGGCAGAGCCTCGGTGGAACGGCGGCACACAGCCGCCGCGAGGCCAACATGAGACTCCCCCAGGCCTGGGCCGTGGCCCGCTCCCCCCACCAGCCCCAGCCGCCCCCGGTTCCTCAGAAAGACTCACCTCCGTCTTATTCCTTGAGAGCACGCTGGAGTCGATCCGGCCCAGGGACATGTTCGGCAGGACGAGGTTGAGAATTTTAGCAGCGAAGACCTGGACACGAGGCAAGGCTGCAGTTAGTGCCGTGGGACCCTCGCCCGGCCACCCCGCGGGCTGCCTACTGTCCACTAAGGAGAAGGATGGTCCGTCGACGGGCGTCAGCCGGGCCTGATGCCGGGCCGGGCACCCAAGGGCCCCTGCTTGCCCCGCCCAGATGGCCTCCTGGGTCTGGCTTCGGGCTGGGTGGGGGCGGCCGGGCGGGGACAGCAGGGGCCGTCTGCCTCCTTGCTGCTCCCGATGTGTGCGGCCACCTCCCCGGACCACACCGGGTGGTAATCTCGAATTCCCTGCAGGAGCAGAAGCACCCAAGCACCCGAGCTGAGGCAGGACGAACCCTGATCAGAAGGCACCGCTGATTGTCTCGGGGCAGGAACCACCACCAGGCCAAGCAGACGCGGGGCGGGGAGGGGCTGCACCCGCCGGCCTGTCCCTCAGCTGCACACAGGGTCGCTGTGTGCCAAGGCGCCTCCACACAGTAGGCACTCAATACAGGTTTCCCCAACGTGATCCGGACTGAGGCCCAGGCCACCCCCGCACCCACCCCCCCAGAGCTGCTGCTTATCCAGGAGACATGTCAACTGGCTCGCGCGCGTCTGCTGGGGGGGCGGGGGCCGTTTCCGTTTCTGCAGATGCCCAGGGAGAGACACGCTATTTCCAAGGCGAGCTGTGAAATGCTGAGATTAGACTCGCTCGGAAAGCGGGGGGCGGCGAGTCCCAGGTCTGTGTGGCCGTCACAGGGCCGACGGGGGTGCCCCTTGGGACCGTGTGGTCGTGGGGTGTCGGCACGGTCCCAGGGGGCTCTCCATCTTCTGATCTCGACACAAACGCCCTGAGGGGAGGGCTGACCCTCATTTAAGAGACGACACAGGCTCAGCGCCACTGCCCGCAGCCAGCGGGACGGGGTGGACAGAGGCCTGGGTGCAGCCGCCCCCGGTCCCCGGAGGCCGAGAGGCCTGAGCTCACCTGCTGTCCCCCCAGCACTGCTCCCTGAAAGCTCTCCTTCCCTGACCATCAGGAGCCTCAAGACCTTGCGCACAGCTGGGTCCCAGATGGCCAGGGGCCCACAGGGGAGACCTCTGACCTCACAGCACCCCAGGCTCGGGCCCAGGCCTCACGCATGTGCACCGGCAGCCTCCACGTGCCGGGCGTTTGCCCACCCAGCCCTGAACACCCACGATCTAGCCTGGAGCCCCGCATCAGGCCTCCAGCCACCCGCACCCATTGAAGTGTCATGGGCTGAATAGGACCCGTACAGCAGGGTCAGGGGTCAAGCTGGGGGTGGGCCGGCCCCAGGGACGAGTGCAAGCCGCGGAGGGCTCGAATTCCAGGAGGGAAGGGACTGGCTGCTTCTGAGCAGACAGGACAGCCTGTGGGTTCCTGGACTCGGGGCTCCTCTGCGGGCCTGACCCCAGGAGCTGAGATCTGTGCTTCCACAGGCCAGAGTGTGTGAACGAGGCAGAAACACGGAGGTAAAGTGCCCCAGGCGCAGAGAGAGGGGGCACCCCGGGCACCCCACCTTCACCAGGGCCGCCCCACGGGGGGTGGGCTTTTGGGGCACGCCCCCGCCAGCGGTGGCCCGAGGGCATCATGCGGGAAACATAACGTGAGGCTGTGTCTGCTGAGCTGCTCCGAGGCTCCCTGCTCTTCCTGACGACCCGCCACAGCCCCCCAGGACGCGGGGGCTGCGGGCCGACTCTGCGCGTATCCCCATCACACCTGGGTCCCCGGGAGCTGCGTGCGATGGGACCAGGCCAGCTGCCCCACCCTGGCACGTCTCACTGCCTCGTCCAGCATGGCCTTTTTAGTTCAGCTGCCCCTTCACTCTCCCTCCCGGGACACCCGGCCGAGTCCTGGCGAGGACTGCCGCCTGGAGCGCCTGGTCTCCCCAGGAGCCCCGAGGTCTCCCCCCAAGCCCTGCTCCTCCCACCTGGCTGCTGCACCGGGCAGCCCCCCCATCGGGCCCCTCCCTTCCTGACAGTCAGCAGCACGGCTCCATGTGGGGCCGTGTCCCCGACCCCCACGGGCAGGACCGGGACAGGGCCACACCTGGCCCGCACGCTGCCCTTTCCAGGGAGCCCAGGGTGAGAGAGGCGGGCGCCACCCAGACCGAGCTCTTCTAAACCAGCAGAGTGTGTTCCGGCCATGCTTCTAACAAGACTCAATTGGGCAGAGATGAAACTCTGCAGTAAGGTCACAGCTAAAAAAAAAAACACCTGGGTGCCTCTTGGCCTGCTCCCCACAAAACCAGAGAAGGGGCAACGCCATCTCAGGGGGGAGAAGCTCAGAACTGCCACCCAGCACACGCTTTTTAAGGGTTGGCTTGTTTCTTTAGCCTTTTCATTAGGAAGAAACAGAGAGAGTGGCTGACTTGTGATCAAGGAAGCTGGGGTTGAGGAGGGGCCCTGAGGTCCAAGGCGAGGAGGGAGGCGGGGGGCTGGAGAGAGCCCGCAGACCCCAGGTGGGGAGGATCAGTTTGTCCAGGTCACTGCTGATTGCCGCTGCCCTCCACCCCAGCACCGTCCACCGAGAGAGCCCACGGCCACCGGGAGGAGGGGTGGGGCAGCGGCTCACCCGCAGAGAAGTTGGAATCCGGGACACAATGTTTCTTACTGTCAACTGCAACACTTCTCCCAAACTTTTTGGAGGCTCCTGCGGGCGTGTGGAGAGAGCCCCGGATCCCGCTCAGGACGGGGTGACCTGGCCACGGCCCCGGGAGGAGACCCCCACCCTCGTCGTGAGGCCAGCGGGCTAAGGCAGGTCCATGCAGCTGCAGAGCCCCCTCAGGGCACCCCAGCGCTCACAGCCCAAGGACAGCCTGGCAGCTGAGACCCCAGCACTCACGGCCCAAGGACAGCCTGGGAGCTGAGACCCCAGCCCTGGGGGAGGAGGCGCTGGAGGCTCGAAGCTGCGCAGGCTTGCATCTGACCTCTGGTTCGGAACCCAGAGAGTCTGTGGTCCTCAGTTTCTGTTTGGAAGGAAAGTTATGACCAACCTAGACAGCATATTAGAAACCAGACACATCACTTTGCCGAAAAGGTCTGTCTGGTCAAAACTATGGCTTTTCCAGTCATGTATGGATGTGAGAAAGAAAGCTGAACCCCAAAGAACTGATGCTTTTGAACTGTGGTGCTGGAGAAGACTCCTGAGAGTCTCTTGGACTGCAAGGAGATCCAACCAGTCCATCCTAAAGGAAATCAGTCCTGATTATTCACTGGAAGGACTGATGAAGCTGAAACTCCAATACTTTGGCCACCTGATGCGAAGAGCTGACTCACTGGGAAAGACCCTGATGCTGGGAAAGATTGGGGGCAGGAGGAGAAGGGGACGCCAGAGGATGAGATGGCCGGATGGCATCACTGACTCGACGGACAGGAGTTTGAGCAAGCTCTGGGAGTTGGTGATGGACAGGGAGGCCTGGCGTGCTGCGGTCCATGGGGTCGCAGAGGCGGACACAACTGAGCGACTGAATAACAACAAAAAAGTGCGGACAACACAGTGAAGCTTGAAAGGCTGTCGGGAGGCGTCCTGACACCTGAGTCCTCCAGGGAGCACCCTAACGGCCCCCAGAGGGGCCCCCTGTGTGCCCGGGGGGATGAGCAAACCCGTGTCACTGAGTGGGGACTCCAGGAAGGAGGGGGAACCCCAACAATCTCAGCCTCGAAGAAGACCAGGTCCACGCCCACGAGCACGTGAGCGAGCGAGTGTCCCTGGCCCACGCCTGGGGCGCCTCTGGGTTAACGGCAGGACCTCCCCTTTGAGAGCCGGGGGCCTGCAGAGCGCCATTATTGATTCCCAAGGTTTTAACGGCTCCGGGAGACCACTCTGAAGCCTCTGCAGCTGAAAGGCTTAACACGAGGAAGGTGATACACAACTGCTCGCTTCCACAGCAGTGCAGCGGGGTGGCCTGGGCACAGGACGGCATAGCTGGGACAGAGCCCGGAGGATTCCTGGGGGCGGCGGGCAGTGAGCGACCCCCAGGCGGACAGCAGGAAGCCTGTGCGCCTTAGAGTGGGACCAAGGCCTCTGGTGCACGCTGCGGCCGCGTTCCGGGGGCCAGGTCACAAGCCGGCCACGCCCCAGCTTCCAGTCTAACTGTACCTGAGCTTGATGACCGGCCCTCCTGGGGCCCCTCCCGTGTTCTTTCCAGCCCCCTGCTCCAGGGCCTTCCGGACTCCGGTGACTAAAAGCAGAATAGCAACACCCAGATGGGAAGCTGATCCCCGGTGTCGGGGGGGAAAGGACGTCCTGCCACGCCCACTGGCCGAGCCACAGCGCGCACTGACCTTGAGTGAGACCGTGGCCTCGTCTCCCGTCCGTGACCCACGCACAGGACGGTGACGGAGGGGAAGTCACCCAGGCGTGTCTGGCCCTGGTGCCGGCCCCGCCTGGCCTGGTGCCTCCAGGGGGGGCGTCTAGGAGCACGGGGCCGCTCCTGCATCTCCACCCGGGACCCGGGGGACAGCCTCCGGCCAAGGGCAGACACGGCCACCTGGAGGACCACCCTAGCCCCCACTCGGGGCAGACATCCAGGGTGACGCCGGGTTTTCCCTGAGAAAGAACGGGTCGGCCCGCAGCTCCGCCCACGTATCACCCCGGGGGGTCAGGGTGCCGCACCAACAGTGGGGCGCGGGGACCCCGTGTCCCTGGGGCGGCTGCGCTGACCCTGACACCTGTCCTGGGGTCCAGGCTTGGTGTCTAAACTCCCGCTTCCACCTGGATCTGAGCGCTGACGGGGTTCTCCCCGAATCATCCCCCGGCTGCACATACCCCAGCCGGCTGGAAGTGGGGCGGGAACCAGCTGTGCCAGGGCTGCGGGCGGGGGGCAGCCACCCTCCACGTGCCCGCCTGCGCGCTGAGGCCCCGGGGCGGCGGGCCACTTTGTGAAGTCTCTCCATCGGGACAACGAAACAGCAAAGAAGTCAGTGGCTCCATCGCGTCTGACTCTGTGTCCCCGTGGACTGTGGCCCCAGGTGCCTCTGTCCAGGGGATTCCCCAGGCAAGAATACCCGAGTGGGCGGCTGTGCCCTTCTCCAGGGGAACTTCCCGAGCCAGGGACTGAAGCCGCGTCCCCTGTGCGGCAGGCAGGTTCTTTACCGTCTGAGTCGCTGGGGAAACCCGTGGGGAACCAGCCGCCGTGAACACACCTCTGACCTGCCCAGGAGCCGCGCTCTGGGACGGGAATCACGGACCAGAACCCAGCTCTGCACGCTGCACCCGGCAGCCTCAAGGCCCAGGGAAGGCCCCCCGCCCCGTCCACGTCGGCCAGAATCTCTGGGGGGGGTCCTGAAGATCGAGCCACTGGAAACCCAAGGACCAGCCAGGTTTCACCTGACCACAGTGAGCCGCACGCAGCCCGCCCCCACCCCAGCCCTGCAGGACGCTCTGTGTCCAGGCGTCACCCAGAGCCCCCCCGAGTCTGAGGCTTCCTTCCGAAGCTGCCCAGGCGAGACAAGGCCAGAGAATGGCCCCGGGCTCCCGCGCGGCGGACGCGACGCCAACTCTGTGGTCAGGACTGCCCGAGCCCCAGGGCAGCAACAGGCCTCCCAGACGGGAGGGGGCGCCCCGGGCCCGGGGGCCGCGGGGACGCTCGTGAATCCTGCCTGACAGCCGGGACCCGCATTCCCCTGCCCACGAGGACATCTGTCGCCACCGGCTGGGAGAGGTCACGCCGCAGGCCTTGCCCAAGACTGGAGGGGGCACCGGGTGGCCTCCTGCTCAGGGCCCGGCTGCCCCCCACCCCCCGCCTATGTGCCCTTCATCTGAAACCCCCAGGGTCCTGGGCTCTTCTTGGGGCCTTGGCGGTGGGCACGTCTCTGCAGAAATCATGCACCATCCCGTCTGGGGAGGCGCCCTTGTAGGGGAGTGGACAGCCCTGGGGGGCAGGGGGTGGACCTGGGCAGCCGAGGGTCCTTTCTAAGCCCCGGGGTCCCGCACGTAACTGCAGCCAGCAACATCCCCGTCCCTGGGGTGAGGGCAGGAGCTGAGGGCACGATTCACGCATGAGCCTGGCACACACCACCCAAACAAGTAACGACTGGAGCCCGTGGAGTGCCGTGGGAGCTCCGCCCGGAACCCCGTTCCTGCTCACTCTCTTCTCTGACCAGGGCCCCCATCGGTCCAGCCGCACGCTGCGTGATCACGGCCAGGAGGGGAGGGGGCCGGGAGACTGGCCCTCCGGAGCCTCGCCTGGGAGTCTGGGAGTGAGCCCATCCTCTAGGCAGCCCCGCCTCCGCCAGGCACTGAAATCCACTGGAGTCGATTTCAACAAGTTGGGGGTGATTTCCTTAGACGGGAGTAAAACTCAAAGGAGCTAGCTGTGCCTCCTCTTGGGAGACTCGAGTAAAGAGGTGTTCTCTGGCTGAGCCCTCAGAGAGGCCCCGGTTTCTCCTTGGCTCGGTCCAGCCCCGTTTCAAATTGCTGAGACTGTTTCCACTGGACGCCCAGCTGCAGGGCCAGGATCACGGCTGTGGCCCTGGGCTGCAGGAAACACCCCGGTTCCGGGTCCCCAGGGGCCCACCGAGGCCTCGGGGCAGGGGCCCCTCCGCCCTGTCACGGACCACGAGGCAGGGGGTGCGCTGTGTCCTGCGGTGATGGCCCCCACCTCACTGCCCCCTCCTGCTCCTCTGAGAGTCCTGAGCACTGGCTCGGGGGGTGGCAGCTGCCCCCCTGACCCCCGTGTCAGGGAGAGACTGACCAATGCTTGGGGAGACGCGGGGCTGGCCTGCCACCCTCGCCGGGTCTCAAGTCTCTGATACCTGGGCCCAGATCAGGTCAGGATCCCAGGTCCACGATCCGGCTGCGCCCAGGCTGTGCTTCCTCAGGGGGTGAAGCCCAGCCCAACCCACTGGGGGCGCCACGAGGACCGTCACGGCCAGAAAAACGCCCCCAAGGAGCCATGTGGGTCAGAGCCGCACGCTCAGCCATGGACACCTGCGAGACCTTTCCTCCTCTGAACGTCCACCGAGAAACGTGCACGGACAGGAAGCCAGTTTTTTTTTTCCTTTGTTTGGGAGAAAACCACACGTGACTGGAGAACTGACTGAATTCCGGCCACAACAACGCTCACTGCATCCAAACCTCGTCACGACAGTGGGAGAAGCCCCTTTGCCCTGGACGCAAGCTGTGAGCGTATGCTCAGGGCCAGGGAGTCTTTCCGGGGCTCACGGAACAGGAGGTCTACTCACCTTGAAAAGCGTTGCCGAGTCTGGATTGGCGACGACCAGCGGGGAGATGAGGACCATGCCGGAGAAGTGGCCCGGCCTCTCCGCGGCCGTGAGGATGGAGATCGCACCACCCTGCGGGAAGAGGGGCCGTGTGGTGGGCGTGGGCACCGTCGTGGATCCCCCAGGCCCAGAGCCCCTACCTTGCAATAGGTGCCCTCAAATGCTGGGTTAACTGGACCCATGATTACTCTATTACACGTGTTTCCCCAGGGTTTTCCAAGCACAAATGTTTCAGGGGATGTAAATAAGGTTACTGCTTGAGGGCTTTAGGTGCCACAATGACACATTTCTATTTCATTTCAAGTCAAAAGCTGGCAGACCCCCAACTCATCCAGTCCATCAGGCTTAATATTAGATTAAAAAAAAATCTGAGGATAATAAGAGATTGTTACACTTTTTGTTTTTTTTTTCCTGGTTCAGTTAAAGGGCCCAGGAATCGAGGTTCCAAGAAAAATACTTAGTGGACATGGGAGGGTGCTGAAGGCAGGTGGCCTTGGCCATTGACTGGAGGGGATCTGAACCAGGGGGTGAACTCTGCACGCTCACGAGGGCCAGGCCGGGCGGTGGCCGGGCGGGGAGCGGGGGGAAGGGCCCCAGGGCGCAGAGCCCAGCGGCTCAAAGTCCTCCGCCGGCCCGCGTGGCTGGCGCCTGAAGGCGGGTCTGGGCTGAGTGCTGCCAGTTTGAGGAGACTCGATTTAAAGATCACAGATGATTTAAAGATCCTGAGAGGAGTCTGTGTATTTAAAAGGCAAAAACGATTTAGGAATGACCTTTAAGGACTGCGTGCCTGGGGACCCTTGTCCTACTGGGAACCGCATGACTCTGAAACCGGCAGGAAGCACTGTGCTTCCCTGATGGCGAACTGATGGGCCCCACCCCAAAAAGGGGGAGCAGAGGTGACCCTGGGCCCTGACGGGAAGGAACGGGTGGGGCAACCCTCCTCTGGGGCCGCCTCCGGGACGCCGACCCCAACTTGTTTCCTGAGCACAAACTTCCCGGGAGCCCCATGCGCAGCATGTGCAGAGGGCGACCCCCCTCCATCCCCACCCGGGGGGACGCTGGGGACGGCTGGACCCAGGGGCCCCTCCGTGGTCTACTCACCATGGAGTGGCCCAGAAGGAAGACGGGCAGCCCCGGGTGGTCCTTCTGCACGGTGTCCACGTGCTGTAGCACGTCCCTGACGAAGACGTGGAAGTCGGACACCACCATCCTCTCACCCTCGCTCTGTCCGTGGCCGACTGGAAGGGAAGCGGGGCACAGAACCAGTCAGCAGAGGCAGCATCCCCCAGCAAGCCCACGGCCTCCTCAAGGAACGACCACTGCTCTCCAGGAAGGACCCCCCCCGACCCTCCCAAGCGCGCTCTCGAGTGTGCAAATTCTCCACCGCCCCCAACCCCGTTTTACAGATTATGAAATGGAAGCACAAGCAGGTTAAGGAATGTGCCCAAATCACACGGCCAGGAAGTGACTCTTCACGCAGCCAGGAGGCCTTCCCGCTGGCCACTTCTCAGGAAGAAAGCAGGACAGACACATGGCGTCCGGGTCCTACCAGAGCAGGACCCAGGAGGCCTGGGCTCCCCTAGCTCCTCAAGCCTCAGGCCGTGTGTCGGAGCGCCAGTGTGTTAGCGGGTGAAGGCCGCGTCGCGTCCCCTCCCCGCCACCTTCTGGGGATGAGGAGGGGACAGACGTGCACCGGCCTAGGGGCGCCAGAAACCACGAGGCGGCCGCAGAACCAGGCCGCGCTGCCTCCCTCCTGGGTGTTACCCTCCGCCCGGACCCGAGCTGTTCCTTTCCCCGAGTCCTTTCTGAGGGTCCCCCCAATGCTCCCCTCTCTGAGGGATGCTGGTCGCCATGGAAACTGGGTGATGTGAGCATTTGCAAAGTGCAGAAGAGAAGGCACAAGGATGCACGTTGAGCACGCCTGCCCGAAGCCCCTCGGCCGCCTCTGCCTGGAGGGGCTGTGACTGAGCCCCCCAGCCATGGACAGAAAAGGGCGGCTTGCAGTGGCTGGAAGCTGGGCCGCCCAGACCCTGATTCGGAAACCCCCCGTGAGGCCAGACCACAGCCCCTGTTCTCTGCTCTGTCCCTCACGTGTGTCTGCCCACCGCTGCCCAGCCCACCCGCCTTTGACGCCTCTGACCACGCAGTCCGGAGACCCCTCCCGTCACCTTCTCAGCAGCAGGCCCAGCCCCTCAAGCTCGCTTTTCCTTCTAACGGAGGTAAAACGTGCCATCGTCACGGCACTGTAGCACACATTCCCGCACACATTCCGCACTGCCGTGCGACCGTCGCCGCGTCCCCCCAGAACCTTTCCATTACCCCCAAACTGGAACCACGTGCCGCCTGCCGTGGGCTGGACCCCCACCCCCAATTCACACGCTGACACCCCACACCCACAGCGCAGGAGGGGGCTAGATTTGCAGACACAGTCTTTCAAGAGGTGATTAACTTGCCCCCAACCAGCAGCAACCCACTCCAGTATCCTTGCCTGGAAAATGCCATGGACCGAGGAGCCTGGTGGGCTGCAGCCCATGGGGTCACAGAGTCGGGCATGACTGAGCTAACAGCGCCCCGTCCGCCTGGTGTCCGTGTAAGAAGATAGTAAGACACGGCCATGCGGGGGGCAGCGAGAGGGGAGGCGGGCAGGAGACGGCCGTCTGCACGCCTGGAGACCGGCCTTGGGAGGAACCAGCTGGGCTGACAGCTTCATCTCGGATTCCCAGCCTCCAGAACGTTCAGCAAATAAATTCCTACCCTTAATGTCGCTCAGCCTACAGAAGTTTGCTATCCAAGCCGCCCAGCGTGCCCGCCAAACAATAATCCCCAGCCCACTCCCCGCACCTCAGAATATAGTTCAGTAACGATGTGGACAGAGCGTCATGTTTAAAGTCCAAAGTATTGTGCGCCTGTGTCACTAATCAATACACGATTACATTAATTTCAAAATAAATTTGTTGTTTACAACTATGAATTTTGCTGTTTCATCTTCCAGTTTAATTCTCTTCTCTGATATTATGTAAATAAACATTTACCTGGTACAAGAGTTAGAAAAATAAAAACAGATCCATTCAGTGACGTCTCACTTCTGCTCCTGTTCCCCACGGCTGATCATCTTATATTTTCTGTCTTCCCTCCAAAGCATTTCTTTTTGCAAAAGTAAGAAAATATCTATCTATCCATATTTCCCCCCTTTTTTCCTTTTACATAAAAGGTAGCATGCTACAGATCCAGCCTATTCTACGCCAGGTTTTCTCAGTTTTAACAGAGTCTGGAGATGACTTCGGACGGCACGCAGACGGAGCACTCCTCGTCTGTCTGAGGGCTCCTCGTGTGGGTGAACCACGGTTCATTCCAGCCATCTCTCACCAAAACCGTGTGTGTGACATCCGATCCCTGTTCACCAAACTGCTGACCGAACCGCATCACCGGGCCGGGGATGATGCTTCTACCTTCAAGAACGCGCGTCTCCGGGGTACACGTCCGGGGCAGGTGTGCTTGGCTGAAAGGTGCCGTTTCGGCGGGTTGACATCATCCACTCGTCCACGGGGGGCGTGCGGGGTTGAATCTACTAGCCTCCCAGCAAAGCACATCACTCTGTGTTTGGATTCTTGCCCGTAAGACGGAGGAGAACGTGCCAGTCAAACATCTCATATTTTAAGGGGGACTTGTGTTTCTTTCTCGGTAAACTGAGAATTCCTGCCTCTGCTGTTTGTCTTTTTCTATCGAGGTTTCACGTTTCTTGATATTTAGGAGCTCTGTGTACACGAGGTGGTCATCTGTCCTTCAACATGACGTCGCGTTTCGCTATGGAAGATTTTTGAGAAAGTCGTCCATCTTTTCTTTTTATGGCTTCTGAATTTTGATTCTCGGTTATAAAGGCCTTCTCTGCTCCTGGGGTATCAGGAGCTCAGCACTTTCTCTGGCTCCGTTCCTTGGCGGGGGTAACATACACACAGCCTAAGGTTCGCAGCAGCCCCCTGTGAGCGCGCCGCTCAGGGCCGGCAGGCGCATTCGCAGAGCCGGGCAGCTGGCCACCGTCGTCCCCGGACCCAGCTTCGCTCTCCACGCACGCATCCTGACCCAGCCGCAGCTTGTCGGGGTACGTGGTGTGAGACCCGGCTCCCTGGCCTGGGGCTTCTCTCCTTCTTAAAATCGAGGTGACGCTCACACCACCGACCAGTGGCCACTGTCAAGTGACCCAACTCGGGGGCATTTCACACATTCCCAGTGCCGTCCAACTGCCTCAATCAGGTTCCAAACTGCAGACGTGCATTGACTGTCTTAGCAGCTTTCACGAAGCCGCCCGTCACCCCGGCACGGAGTGGTGGCGTCATTCACAGGAAGCTTCCTTTCCCGTGTGCGTCTGGCCCGTCTCTGGGTTTCTGCGCCATCCTGCTGGTCGGCCTACGCACAGGCCAGCCCCGCGCTGAAGCATGGCGGCGTGCGCCCACCCCACCCGGCTTCTCAGGCCGGGAGGGAGCTGCGAGACCCACGTGCAGTCCTGGCGCTCCCGGAATCTGTCCCCACCACACAGCCTCGAGTTGCCCCCGCGCACGCCACACACGCCAGGTCTCTGTCTCAGAGTGCACTGATTAGGGGTCCCCTCTCCCCCAGCACCGCTCCTTCCCCGTGACCCGAGGACGCCGCGAGCTGGGGGACACGGCTCTGCTGGGGGGCTGCGCTGTGAGCAAATGGCATCGTCCGCCTGGGACCTCGGCAGGAGGCTGGGCACGCACGTGCCTGCAAGCCAGGCCGCCTTCAGACCCAGGATCTCCTTTCATTGGTCTGCACTCTCCTCTGGCTCCTCGTGACGGCCTGGCCAGGGGCAGGTGCCAGCTTTACACCTGCCGAAATGAACTGCAGCCTCTCGTCCCACGATGGCCACCCATCACTGTGGCAAGTTCATCTGATGAGGCATTTACATTCCTACCACAGGGATGGAGCGGCAGGGCTGTGTTTGCAATTAACACTCCCTTCCTCATATGTTCTAAGAGAAAGAACCTTACCACAGGCCTTGATCCAGCATATTTTTGGCTTTGTTTAACCTGATTCTGCTATGTTCTATGATTTTGTTAAATCCTCTGTATTTTGACGCCTTACCATCTGGTTGAAGCTGACCCTGGAAGGACTGCTCCTCCCAAGGTTAGCAAATCTCTGGACACGGGAAAGAACTGACTCGTGAGCTGGCCTGTCATACGCAAACCAACCAGCCCAGAGCCCACCTCCCCGGGCCACTCACGGTCCTGTCACCCAGGCCCACGGACCAGACCACCAGGGGCAGCCCCAGACCGCTCAGCCCACTGACTGTACCCAAACCAGCCCATCCTCACCCTGCTCACCCCACCTCACCGTTCCTTCTCGAAGAAACTGCAACAAAGCCTCCTGTCCACTCCCCCCTGCCTGCCCCTGCCGGCGGTCCAGCCCCGGTGCCTCACTGAGTGGCCCCGAGTGGTCCTGCTCCTGGTTCTGGGGATCTTTGAGTATAATAAACTCTGCCTCCTGGAGGTCATTTCCGTGCGTCTCCTGATCAAAACCTGATCAGATTTTGACTCCACAAAACCTGATTCCAGCCCCTGTCCCGGAGAGCACAGTAGCTCTGTACCCCATGCGCGGTGAGCACTTGAGCCTTCGGGGAATGCTTCAGTAATCCCCGTCTCTGTCTCATGCAGAACACTTCTCCCTCCAAGCGATCTGGTGGCACCACGTGCTAAAGACCGAGGACCAGTCCAGAAAGGCGGGGCTCCCGCTAGCCCTGGGACCGGAGGAAACGAGCGTCCGACTCCCAGTCATGACAAGGCCTGGTGCGGACGCGGTGGGCTGGAACCCGCACAACCCTGTTCCCAGGGTTCATTTCACATGATCCTACCTATGAATTCTCCCCCATTTTCTGGCTGAGAAAACTGACCCGCAGACAGACTGGTGGGAGCCCACCCCCCGATGAGTTAGAGGCTGGCCACAGACTTGAGCTCTGGGTTCAGACCCCAAATCTCACACTTCTGCTATCCTCGGGCAGGGCTGACCCGGGGACGCACAGTCCCAGAGGCCGCCTGCCACACGGCAGGGACCGGTTCGGTGCCTCTGGGTCCTCCCTTCTGCCCCCAAATCGATCTCAGACATTCCTATCATTACCATCAGGGCGAGATGCGCCTGTGATTGAAAACACAGGCCACTGAACGCAGGCCAGCAGGGCAAGCCCGAGGGATGAGATGTCTCCACTGGGCATCAGCGCACGGGCTCC